TTTTTTGTTTCTTAGTAGATGCTTTCATAGTACTTGTATATATAATTAGTTTGAATTGTATCTTTTGTGCCGATTTGTTTTGTAATAACTTTCAACTTACCACTAGGTACTAGTTTAACTTTATTTTCATCTTGGAATTGAAATATTTTTACGTATTGAGAAGCATGAATTGATCTAGTATTATGTTTACTTAAATTTAGTCAATATATTGTATATTTTTCATCTTTATAAAAGGTATTTTTTTTGGGTTAAATCTCACAGAATTAGCACAATTTATTATTATTTTTTTAAAAAAAATGAAGTTATAACGGCGTTTTTAAACGCCACTGTAGAATACTAATGGTTATATTTTTAAAATAAAAATGACCTATCACGGCGTTTTTAAAACGTCGCTAATGTGTAGTGACGTCATTGGACCATTATGCAGCACATTTAGCGGCGTTTTTTAAAATGCCACCTATACTGATATAGCGACGTTTTTAAAGCGTCATAAAGTTACAGCGACGGCCGCATCTTCGGCGTTTAGTACTAAACGTCACAAAAACAATTAGCGGCGTTTTTGATAGCTATGGTTACCCCGCACTATGGTCTACAAGGAGTCCAACGTTTGTTATTTTCCTCTTCAATGTTTACTAAAGTTGACAGCTGTATTGCACTTGTTGGTTATAATGTAAAACTACTACAGAAGCTTTATGTTCAACTCAAGGAAGGGTCATTCTAGAATTGATGCTAGAACTAATGAAACAATTTTTTTTTTTTTAAAATATTTAATCAGCATTTTTTTGCTAAGTAAAACATACATTAGAAAGAGTGCCAAATGGGGCACATACAAATACTCAAGAATATCAGGAAGGCTTGGCCCCAAAATTTAACTCACTAGTGAAGTCAGTAAAGCATATTCACAAAAAAAATCCTTTACTCTAAAAAAGAAAACTCTACATGGCTTTCTTCATGTCCCTCGTCTGTCGTTTCCTTGTAATTGAAATTAATTTTGTTTCTGCAGGTCCTGTTGAAACCCATTGTCTCTTAGCTAGTGATAGAACCGCCAGCTTCTTTGGAAGAATATACGAGGATACCATCTATAAAGGAGGTTGATGATTTGTTGGTTGTGTGTGTTGGTCAAATGGCCGTTACAGCTGGCAATGACCTTCTCTGGTAGCCCTTGAACCATGAGGTGAGTGTAGAATTTTTTCAGACTTGACCACATTGCATGTTGTCAATGTTGTTAGCTGTGGACCTCAACTTTAGGTGTTTAAAACTTAAATAATGAGCTGTTCTTGTAAAATACAAGCAAAAACTTGTTTTGGACTAAAATCTCTCTCTATTAAGTCTATTATTGTTATGATTATTATTATTATTATTATTATTATTATTATTATTATTATTATTATTATTATTATTATTATTATTATTATTATTATTATTATTATTATTATTATTATTATTATTATTATTATTATTATTATTATTATTATTATTATTATTATTATTATTATTATTATTATTATTATTATTATTATTATTATTATTATTATTATTATTATTATTATTATTATTATTATTATTATTATTATTTCATCTATATGATAGTATTATTATTATTATTTCATGCATAGGAAAATTTGTTAGTAGTTGCTTTCTTACTAGAGAATAACAACGCAATTGTAGGATTATGCCACGGAGTTAGATGAGACATGCATACGTAATGCAGCACATTTGATGGTTGCCAATTTGGCTGGAAGTTTAGCTCATGTAACATACAAGGTTTCATCTCAAACTGGAGATCTCTTTTGTTGTTCTATTGTCCTATTTTGTTATCCGAAAATATAGTATTCCTATCTGATTAGAATCTTATGTTTGTCTACCTTTGTTACCTGGTGTTTGACAATGATTGTGTGATTACTGATAGGAACCCTTATGTGGCTCAATATCAAGTCAGCTTAGGAATTCGCTTTAGGGTTTAAATATTGCAAGTGAACTTGAACAAGTGCAACTTGTTACTAATGATAAGCTTGATCTGAGCTGTGCACTGATTGAACAAGCTGCAACAGAAAAGGTTAGATTGCTTTCTATTTTCTTCCACAAAAATGCATTTATGCATATATTTATTTATCCGTTAATATATACGTTCACTTCAGTGCTTTGGATTCACATTATCCTAAATTGATAATGCATGCAATAACAGGTAACAAATTTCACTTCTACTATTTGGAAAGCTGTTTTAGAAGTTGTATAGAATACCAAAGAATATTTTGCTGTTGGGTAAGGTTCTAAGAAGGCCCTACTTGTTTCTTCCTCGAAGGAAGCTTGCTACACATGCGAAAATATGGCTTAACAAGTGTGGATTGAGAGGCAAAGCTGATCAATCATCCATAGACACTACAACTGCAATATTGTTCTCACACAATATTGTCCTCACCAAACCTGATAATGTAGAAATGGTTGGATGGAAAGCATTTGTGAAACAATGAACTTCCAAAGAATTTAAGGTAAGTTTCCGAATAAAAACTCTCTAAATTTTATGAACTAATTAGACCACCAAATTTTCTCATAGTGATTCAATTATGAATTATTAATCATATAAATTATGACATTCTTCTTTTGTATATGTAGGCAAAGAGTAAAAGATTTAGGGCAATGAGGAAAAAGCAAACCCTCTTACATACCATGAGTCGTAAAGGTTATGCACGATTAGAGGATGAAATGGTAAATTTAAGAGTGATTCAAAGGTGTGATCTAAATTTTTTTAATCACACTTAAAAGGTATGATCTAAATGTTATTAATCACACTTATAAGATGTGATCTAAATGTTATTAAGCACACTTAAAAGGTATGATTAAAAATGACCACTTTCAATCACACTCTCAAAGATCACACTTTAATAAAACTTAAAAGGTGTGATTAAATAACATACATTACACAAAAAAAGTGTGATCTTTATCTGTTTTTGTAGTAGTGAGCTAATTGAAATTATAGAGACTAAAATAACACAAGAATCAAAATTAAAAAAAAAATAAATTATTAGTGTAATTTATTTACCTTTTTTTTTTTTTCCTTTCAATCTCTCTAACAGTTAACTCTCTCTTGCTTAGTGAAGTCTACAAGGAGTAAAGCATATTCACAAAAAAAAATCCTTTACTCTAAAAATGAAAACTCTACATGGCTTTCTTCGGGTCCCTCGTCTGCCGTTTCCTTGTAATTGAAATTAATTTTGTTTCTGCAGGTCCTGTTGAAACCCATTGTCTCTTAGCTAGTGATAGAACCGCCAGCTTCTTTGGAAGAATATACGAGGATACCATCTATAAAGGAGGTTGATGATTTGTTGGTTGTGTGTGTTGGTCAAATGGCCGTTACAGCTGGCAATGACCTTCTCTGGTAGCCCTTGAACCATGAGGTGAGTGTAGAATTTTTTCAGACTTGACCACATTGCATGTTGTCAATGTTGTTAGCTGTTTTTTTCTGCATGTCTTTAGATATGATGTCTTCTTATTCACTCCATAATACTTCTTCAGATTGATGCTCTACATATTGATACAACAAAAAAAAAAAATTTCCAACCACTTCATGTGGAAAACATTTTCTCCAATTTTGAGAACTCTAGCCCACTTTCTCTGATGTTTTTTGTCTTCTAATTTTCTGTTTACTTACAGAATTTTTCTTTTCTTATTTCTTTCCAACAATTTGATGTGGAATAAGCTGCAAGGTGTCATTCCTCCTTAAATTGCATTCCCTAGGTAACTGTAGACGTAGTTAGGGGATACCTGCACAAGTCATTGTCTGCCACTGTGGAGTTCATAATTGAGAGTGAAAAAGGTATATGCATATTCTATTTCTTGATTTCTCTTGTACAAAATAATCAATGCACTTAATTAGCTTCCATTCTGCTGTGGTGTTTCTTCAGCTAGTCTTCCTGATCAACCAGTTTCTCCTGAACTGGTCATATTTTACATTACTCAGGACACGCAAAGACATTCATTACTTCCTGAACTAAGATCAGGTTGTTTCTTGTTCTCCTTTCCCCTCTCTAGTTATTATGAATTATAAGGGCCAAAGTAACATTTTTCCAGCTTCTATGTCCTTACGAACCTTGTAGTTATAGTTTTTTTAAATACTGATAAGCATGTAGGTTGATGAAAGTCGAAGGGCCAAAGTAACATTTTTCCAGCTTCTATGTCCTTACGAACCTTGTAGTTATAGTTTTTTTAAATACTGATAAGCATGTAGGTTGATGAAAGTCGAAGGGCCAAAGTAACATTTTTCCAGCTTCTATGTCCTTACGAACCTTGTAGTTATAGTTTTTTTAAATACTGATAAGCATGTAGGTTGATGAAAGTCGAAGGGCCAAAGTAACATTTTTCCAGCTTCTATGTCCTTACGAACCTTGTAGTTATAGTTTTTTTAAATACTGATAAGCATGTAGGTTGATGAAAGTCGAAGGGCCAAAGTAACATTTTTCCAGCTTCTATGTCCTTACGAACCTTGTAGTTATAGTTTTTTTAAATACTGATAAGCATGTAGGTTGATGAAAGTCGAAGGGCCAAAGTAACATTTTTCCAGCTTCTATGTCCTTACGAACCTTGTAGTTATAGTTTTTTTAAATACTGATAAGCATGTAGGTTGATGAAAGTCGAAGGGCCAAAGTAACATTTTTCCAGCTTCTATGTCCTTACGAACCTTGTAGTTATAGTTTTTTTAAATACTGATAAGCATGTAGGTTGATGAAAGTCGAAGGGCCAAAGTAACATTTTTCCAGCTTCTATGTCCTTACGAACCTTGTAGTTATAGTTTTTTTAAATACTGATAAGCATGTAGGTTGATGAAAGTCGAAGGGCCAAAGTAACATTTTTCCAGCTTCTATGTCCTTACGAACCTTGTAGTTATAGTTTTTTTAAATACTGATAAGCATGTAGGTTGATGAAAGTCAAAGGGCCGAAGTAACATTTTTCCAGCTTCCATGTCCTTACGAACCTTCCATAAAGCATATTTCACCTCTTTTCAGGTGTTGGTTGACATGATTCAGGTACTGGATTGGGCATTTGAAGCTGCTAGCCAAGAAATGAGAGGCATGTGCCAAGAGGCAGCATACCAGCCCGGACTATACTTGACAGCAACTCAGGTATCAATTAAGTAATTACTGTAGCTAGAACTGATGCACATACAATATTTAGGGAATTCTCTCTCTCGGTATTTGACCTGTAAGAAGACACCCACATAATAGTAGTAACTTTAGGTGGAATACAAGCTAGGGTTCGATGAATCTTGTTCTTTATGATACTGGAAGCCTGAAGTTTCTTGATTCATCAAATTTTGAGGTTTGCGAAACACCTTTTTCACCCTTTATGCTTTCTATGTGCGCAGCATTTACACTGATTTTAAATTTTTTGTATGTAACTTGTGTGCTTGACATATATGAATCAGCTTTGACCATATAGTGTCCATAACACTCTGCAAAGAGTGATTTCTTGATTAATGGATGTTTTGTAGTATATTATTGAACTACTGTCATGTCTGATAATTTCGATTTTCAGTTCTGCCTTCTCTTGTTTGCCCTTCAGTTTGATTAATTAATTTCAATATTCAAATGTTTTCTAATTTTCTGTCAGGAAATTTGCTTAATAACTTAACTCATAGTTTTCGTTGCTTCTCTGCTCATGTGCCTCACAGTTATTTTGGTCAGCTTCACCTTGGTCTATTTGTTGGTTACCCCGCACTATGGTCTACAAGGAGTCCAACGTTTCTTATTTTCCTCTTCAATGTTTACTAAAGTTGACAGCTGTATTGCACTTGTTGGTTATAATGTAAAACTACTACAGAAGCTTTATGTTCAACTCAAGGAAGGGTCATTCTAGAATTGATGCTAGAACTAATGAAACAAGTTTTTTTTTTTTAAATATTTAATCAGCATTTTTTTGCTAAGCAAAACATACATTAGAAAGAGTGCCAAATGGGGCACATACAAATACTCAAGAATATCAGGAAGGCTCGGCCCCAAAATTTAACTCACTAGTGAAGTCTACAAGGAGTAAAGCATATTCACAAAAAAAATCCTTTACTCTAAAAAAGAAAACTCTACATGGCTTTCTTCATGTCCCTCGTCTCGTTTCCTTGTAATTGAAATTAATTTTGTTTCTGCAGGTCCTGTTGAAACCCATTGTCTCTTAGCTAGTGATAGAACCGCCAGCTTCTTTGGAAGAATATACAAGGATACCATCTATAAAGGAGGTTGATGATTTGTTGGTTGTGTGTGTTGGTCAAATGGCCGTTACAGCTGGCAATGACCTTCTCTGGTAGCCCTTGAACCATGAGGTGAGTGTAGAATTTTTTCAGACTTGACCACATTGCATGTTGTCAATGTTGTTAGCTGTGGACCTCAACTTTAGGTGTTTAAAACTTAAATAATGAGCTGTTCTTGTAAAATACAAGCAAAAACTTGTTTTGGACTAAAATCTCTCTCTATTAAGTCTATTATTGTTATGAACAATCCATCCTGTGCTTCATATTGATTAATCTTATTTTGTGATTAGGCGGGACATGATTCGAAACTGCAGTCCGCTCATGGAAAAAGGACCCCCTTTTATTTTTATTTTTAGTCCTTTACTTAAAAAGAAATTTCTTGAAAATCAGTTAAAAGCTGCACAGGGTCCTGTTGAACTCCTGAGTTCAAATTGTGAATTTAATAAACACCATTTTTAGACACTAAAAACAAATAAACATAATACAATGAACTAATTAAATATATGTCCTTAATTTTACACAGTGTAGGCTCATTCTTGGACACTATTTTTTTTTTGTGTGTGACTAGGTAGTGGAACTCTTTGAAGAAAAGTGTGAGGTGTTTCCTGATTGTAAATTATTTTCTTAAATAATTAAGTCCAAATTTTACTATAACTAAGCTGTTGGTTATAATAAAATTTATGTTGAACTTGCAATTTCTGTGGATAAAGTGACATTTTGTTTTATATGCTTCATGTCATGCTAGAGGTATTTAATGATAAGACATTTGAAAGGGTGTGATTAGTCGGGCTTTGTCTCTTGTAAGACAAGAATAGTCTCTACAAAAACAGTAAATTTATTCATATGCTTCTAGACGATTCGGAATTAATTTGTGTTTTTATTTTTCAGGTCAAAAATTTCTTGGAGATGTGCAAAATATGGTCAAAGAATTCAAGAACTTAATTTTTCAAGTTTTTTCATTTTTTAATATATGTAAGCACAGTTTAAAATTTTTTATTTAATTCATTTGTATCTACTTTTAAACATATTTAACTTTCATTTATGAAATATATGAAGTCATTCCATTCAATATATGGTTGTAATTCAAAATATAGTATATATTGTGTATTACATTCTTCAAATGTGCGTACTAAAATAATATTGATTATTCTTTAAATCAATATTAATCAAAGGTTTTATTAGATATTAATCACACTTAAAAGATGTGATCTAAATATTTTTAATCACACTTAAAAGGTGTAATCTAAATATTATTAATTACACTTAAAATGTGTGATCAAATGTTTTTAATCACACTTAAAAGGTGTGATCTAAATGTTTTTAATCATATTTAAAAGGTGTGATTAAAAATGACCTCTTTTAATCACACTCCTAAAGATCACACCAAGGTTCTAAATCGCAGTATCGGGTAATGTAACGGTATCGATTGCGGAGTGTCGGTATCGGTAGTTTCGATCGGTACGTATCGGGAATCGGGTGTCGCGGCGGTGAAATTTTAAAAATCATTTCACAAGTTTCTCAGCTTTTTCTTTCCCTTATCGGTCCGAACCGGTGAGTATCGGCCCATCGCGGCTTGTGTAACGGTTACAGACCGATACGTACCGGGACTAGGCCGATACTCCTGCGATTTTCATTCTCAGCGGTATATCGGCCTGTGTCCGTTGCGGTACCCTATTTTTTCGATACGTATCGGCCGATATTTAGAACTATGGATCACACTTTAATAAAACTTAAAAGGTGTGATTAAATAACATACATCACACAAAAAAAGTGTGATCTTTATCTGTTTTTGTAGTAGTGAGCTAATTGAAATTATAGAGACTAAAATAACACAAGAATCAAAATTAAAAAAAAAATAAATTATTAGTGTAATTTATTTACCTTTTTTTTTTTTTTTCCTTTCAATCTCTCTAACAGTTAACTCTCTCTTGCTTTTTATATGCAACATTTGAATAATACTGTGTTCAACATACACATATGTATGCATATACACAAATATAGTTGTGAAAAAGATATAACTGTGATCCCACCATTACCCTTCTCATCCTTGATCTATTCTCTATATTTCTCTCTTAAATGTTATTTTATAATTTTATCACTATGTGTATAGTATTTACATACATACACACACGCGCGCGCACACACACACACACATATATATATATAACATTCACTATGTGTACAGTATATACATACATATATATATATATATATATACATATATAAGATTCAAAGCTGTGTATTTCATGAGTGAGCAAAAGAAGGCTGAAAAATATTAAAGAACGTGAAAAAGGAAAGACATATCAAAAAAAATAAAAAAAAAATAAAAAAATGGAAAGAATGGGTCTGAAACATTGAGAAAACTGAAGAGTTAAAAACACCTCCGCTAAGTTTAAATGTTACCCATGATCACCTTCTGCTTCTCATCTCTCTCTCTCTCTCTCTCTGTGTCTCTGTCTCTGTATTATTCATAGAGATGTCAGTTACAGGAACATGTTCATCAATGGTGGTATGGACCTTTCTGTCGATTGAACTCAGCAAATGAATATACGACCATGAAATCACAGAAGAAATTTCTGTAATTATCAATGGATTCGGTTAACAACTATCCATTGGGCATTCATTAAGGATCAAATAATGTCAAAAAAGTTTGAACTCTCATACATATTTCACATATTTTAATAAAAATTTTAGGAGAATTTTTTTTAAGGTCCCTGATATTAAGATTTTATAAGATAAATGACATATATTTTCATAGTAGTTAAGGTCCCTCAACATTTCTATAAAAAAAATTCGACTCAGATAAATTTTGCCAGACTCAAAGCAATTTCAAATTTCACAGAGAAATTTCAAAATTTCTCTGTGATCATACCAGATAAATTTCAAAATTTCTCTGAGTCGGGACCGAAATTTCTCTGAGTCAGGCGAAACTTCTCTGAGTTGATTTCTTTGTGAAAATGTTGAGAAACCTTAGCTAATTAAAACAAATGTATCTTTGACATCTCTTACTAGACAAAGTTGGAGAGGAATATTTTACTAATTTTTCTAAATTTTTTATATATCTACCCATGTTATTGACAACTCAACATTTTCCACTATCAAAAACTTCTGGAAAAGACAAGTGAAATTTTTTTTTTTTTTTTTGGGGGGGGGGGGGGGGGATAACTATATGCCTTTATTAGGCTTTAATTATGCATTCGAATTCTCTAAAATAATTTTGGAGTTTTTTTAAAGATGAATGGTATTTAATGATATAAAAATTGAAGATACAATAGTCACAAGTTAAGGACATGTTTGATTAATAGAATTATAATATTGGATTGGGATGGTTAGTCTCTATGAACCCACAATCCCATATTTGATTGTAAATTTTATTAACTAGATTATATGTATGGCGAACATTTAATCCAACAAAATTGACAAAATTTTAATATTGAGAGAAGTTCGGAATCATAATTTCAAGTAGGAAAGAAAAAAAAAAATGAATACATAATAAATAATTATCACTCTAATTTAATTTGATAATTAATCGCACACTAATTCATGAGATTATTAATCATTTCACTATTAATCATGTTAATCAAATAAGACCTAAGAGTATAGCAACCATACAAATAATCACTATAACATCACTACTGAAAAACAAAAAATCCTCAAAAAAATCTCGACTTTTGGAGTATGAGGCTAATTACTCAAACCCAACTTTTGGATTATAAATCAAATTCTACATTGTAGATTTGTCACAATTAACCCAATATTCTTACATAATTTTCAAATATTGTGTTATTATATAATCTTAAATACGGTGAATTTTCCATTGTTAATGTGAAAAAAAGTTGTAGAAGTTCAAATTGATGGATTAAATTTCTAACGTCACTCATTATGCATAAATTTAAAATCTGTTGCAATAATTAGTTGCTAATGTATGTACCTTTTTATCTTAGTATTAAATATATATTACGGTTAGAAATTATTCTACTAATAATATTTGAAAATTAAAATTCATTTTTTTAAGTTTTGAATAGTCTTGTCTTTATAATAATGCAGTGGTGTCAGTGTAATTTAATTATATATTAATAAAAAAAATTATATTATAATTATTAATATTTATAATATTTTTCATTTAGTTGCAAATATTTTTTTAACTGACACATGTCAGTGTAATTCTCTTAAAAAAAAAAAAAACTTGTCATTAATTTTTATTTTATAAATGTAATGATGTACTTTAGATTATTTCATCTGATATATATATATTTTTTTACCAACTCTGGTTTATTTCATTAATTTTTTTTTCTTTACCAACTCTAGTTTGAAGACATTTGTTCATCCATTTTAGGTAGGTCTTTCCTTTTTTATTTTTTATTTATGATTATTTAAAATTCACCTAAAGATAGTTGTGAGAATTTTTGTGTATCGTTTGTAATTGTTTGTAACCTCTTAGTTAATAGTAAAATCGGATTATCGTCTCGTAGATGTACTGCACATTAAGGAAATCATGTAAAAAATTCTTATGTCGTTGATTTAATTTTTTGTGTATTATTATTATTTTTATTTCCTTTGATTGATTTACAGTACTTGTACGAAAATCATATTTTTCCCTAACGCATCCATGCAATTCGTTTTGTTGTTAATTTGATCTTGAACAATGTTGAAATGTACAATTCTCCAATTATAAATTATGATCATTGAAAAAGGGTTTGCGAAAATGCTTAAGTAAATCCAATAATGATGAAAAAACATATAATAGCAAGAGGTATAGTTTAGTGAGATTACTAGCGAAACGTAATAACAAAAATTTTACTATTATTTCTTTACCACTATTATTTCTTTTCATTTTGTTTTTTTTTTTTCCTCCCAAAGTCCAACTAACAAATTAATTTTTTGTTTGTTTGTTTGTTTGTCTTTTAGGGTTTAGGGTCTTTAATATCCATTATAATTACCAACATCTAATAGACAAGGACCACACCTTTAACAAGAAAAAAAACTAAAATATAGACAAAGCCAAACAGGGAAAACCATCATCAAAAGAAATAGGTACTCAAAAGAAGAAACAAAGAAAATGACTAACCAACAA